GGGGGGGGGGGGGGGGGGGGGGGGGGGGGGGGGGGGCTGCTTCAGGGGAATGGCAAACTTGGACAAGCACACAATCTTCTCCAGCTACTCAGAGCCCTCATCCTACCAAGGCTGGGGGAAGACCTGAAGCCCTGGATATCTCTCAGTCTCAGATGCTTTCCCTCCCTGGCATTCTGTGTGTGTGTGTGTGTGTGTGTGTGTGTGTGTGTGTTGTGGTTTGAATCTGAAATGCTCCTTTCTACAGCCTCAAACTTTGAAAGCTCGTTTGCTCCCCAGCTGACAGTGCTGGGGCTGAGAGAGAACACTCAGGAGGTAAAGGCCCTTCAATCCTAAAGACACAAAGAAGAAAACTGACCCTCCTTCCCCCACAAGTTGCCCTCTGACTTCCTCATACACACCACTCATACACACACTGTGTGTGTGTATATATATACATACATACACACACACACACACATACAGATATATACACCAATTAATTAATTAATTAATTAATTAATTAATTAATTAATTAGTATTTTTGTTTTACAATTCTCCAGTGTGTCCCCGAGAGGGAAGATTAGGCAACAGAGAACAAAAGGATCAACGTTGAGCTAGGTGTGGTGATGCACACTTACAATCCTGGCACTCTGGAGGCTGAAAAACCGAGGCAGGATCATAACTCAAGGCCATCCTGGGCTACAGCGGGAGTTCTGGGGAAGTCTGGGCTGTCACAAGGCCCCCAGGAAGATGAGATAAGATAGGATTCAATGGTGGGGCCAGTGAGAGGGCTCAGTGGATAGAGGTGCTTGCCCCAAGCTTGACACGCTGATTTGGTCTCCAGGAGCTCCTACATGGTGGAAAGAGAAAATGGACGTCTATAGGCTGACCTTTGGCTACCACATGGGGCAGCGGCACCCCAACCTCTGACACACACAAATGAAAAATAAAGTAGAATAAAGGGTCTTGGAGATGCTTGCTGCAAGTGTTCCTCGCAGGAGTTCAGACCCCAGCACCCATGTGCATAGCTGGGAGTGGCAGTGAACACCTGTAGACCAGGAAGGGAAGCAAGAGGCTCCTGAGCGCTCCCTACCAGCCAGTCAGTGAGCTCGGCGCTCAAGGAGAGACCCTGTCTCAAAAACCAACATCCATCTCTGGCCTCTTCACGCACAGCCAGTACACACACGCCCTCCCGCCCCCCTCCACACTGAAATGAAAAGATAGAATAGAAAAGCGTAGGTTGGGTTAGAGAGATGACTCAGCTGTTCAAAGCATTTGCTGGCCTCAAACCTGAGTTTGGTTCCCAGCACCCATGTCAGACGACTCACAGCCGTCTGTAAAATTAGCTCTAGGGGAATCTGATGCCCTCTCCTGGCCTCCCTGAGCTCTGCACTCATGTGTTCATATATATACAGAGACTTACACACACCAACTCACAGGTAACAACAAATCTTGGAGAGAGAGGAAGAGAGAGAGCGAGAACAGAGCAAGATGGGAATGAAAGGGCAATTGGGGGCGAAGGGGACTGAATACAGGGTAGCCAGCTGCTTTACTCCACTTCTCTTAACCCCTGACAAAATCCTACCAACTGTGACGTACTCCCTGCCCTGCCTGCACCTCACATCACGCCTCTTCTATGTACGCGTAGAGGCGCCTGCATGCGAATGCTCCCTCCAGGGAATATGCAGTGACTCCCCCTTAGGGTCTGGAGTGCACACCTGCGTCCATGTGCAGCTGGAGCACACACCTGGGTCCACGTGTTCCCTTAGGGACAAGGCAGGCAGGGAGGGGTGGGGGCCCGGCAGCTGGGGCTGCCTGGGAGGATGTGACCCAGTTTTGTCCCCAGCATCTGTCTGCTGGCAGAGCAGAGTTTAGTCACCTGAGCTGACTGCACGCTCCCACACCCCCCTTAAATACGAGCGTGAGAGACTCAGAAGCAGCAGACACGTGTCCTTTCCTGCCACATACGTGGATCCCACACACAGTCTCCACCCAGGCCTCCAGGATGTGCTCTTCCGGCACTCTGATTCTCTTCTCCTGTAGTATGTCCACAGATATATTTAGACCATCTCCTTGTGCTCAAAACTCACGCCTCTGCTACATATCACATCCTTGTAGCCCCAACATACATGATACCCGAGTCTTTCCTGTGTTGGGCACCCACATGAATGCACAGCACCCATCTTCACAGCAGGCTGCTGATGCACCTTGCCACCTAGTGAGGGATATCCTAAAGACAGTCTATTATTTTCTTTTGTTACATGTATGTATGAATGTATGTATGTATGTATGTATGATGTGTGTATATGTACGGAAGCCAGAGAACAGCATGTGGCCCTGAGTTCTCTCCTTTCATTTTTGTGGGCCCTGGGCTCAAACTCAAAGCTCAAGCTGTCAGGCTCAGGGGCAAGCCCCACCTTCCTTAAGCCAGCTCGCCAGCCTAGCCCCTCCGAGTCTGTTCCTATCCAGTGCCTCCGTGTAACCGGTGCAGAGCTGGGGCTCAGAGGGGGAAAGCAATGCTCGCAAAGCTCTCCATAGCACGCAGAGTGTGTGTCCACTCACACCGGCAAGCCCAGCACACAGGGTACAGAAGCTGGAAGGATGCCAGGAATTAGAGGCCAACCGGGCTATGTCCTCTGTGTGTGCGCACGCGCGCTCGTGTGCACACCGGAGGGCAGAAGGCCCAGGAGACCAGCATATGGTACTGAATGGTCTGGAGCTGGAGTCACGGGCGGTAGTGAACTGTCCAGTGTCCTCTGGGAGAGCACTCTGCTGAGCC